AGGCTCCAGTGCCTGTCCCGTGGGCTCTGCAGTGGCAGACACAGTCCTGCTCCCAGCAGAAGTTTAATTTCTCCTGATTGCCATGCTTATCCTTGGAGCCACAGGCTATTACCAAGCTGTTACGGGGGAACAGCAGGAGTGATTGTTGTTGTCGCTGCCGCCGCGAGCTCTGGCTGCAGCCAAGGACAAGTCCTGGCTCCGGGTGAGCTCCTTTCCAAGGGACCTCCTGGTTTGCTGCTCCTGCTGGAGCTCGTCTGAGAGGAAGGATTGAGGATGCTCTCATCGTACACGTGTCCTTTTCTGTGTTAGGAGGAACATAATGTGTTTTCGTCTTAGCGTTTCAGACATGTTTTCAAGTAGACGTTTGCCGCCTGTACCGACCTTGGCACTGCGGCTGCTGCCTGTGCCCTGCCAGACTGCTCGTAGACAGCTGAGCCTTTTAATTACAGAATGGATTTTAACCTTGAAGGTTGCTTTGCAGAGGATTTTTTTTTATCAAGTCTGAAAGACCAGGATGCTGGCTACGGTCACTGCAGCTTCAGGATGCAGCTTGAAGCTCCTGTTGACAGACTCTTCAGCTCACGCTTGAAATCAATCCCTTTCCTGGCGAGGTGAGGAGCTGACCAGGTTAGAGTGACCTGTGCTGCTCACAGGGTTTGTAGTTTGATGATGATGCAGATAGTCATCTTCCCTGCTCTGGGCTGGCAGTGTGCTCTGACCTGCTCCTCAAGCCTGGAGTGTTCTGCTCCTTCTCAGAGGACAACTTCACCCGTGGGGATGTAAGGAGCACCCAGCTGCCCACACCTCCAGCACCAGAGGTGTGTGGGTGCTGTTGGCATTAACAAGGAACAAACTAACTTGTCTTATTTGCAAAAACCTCTTTATTGATTCACCACTATGTGAATTGTCTCTGACTGTGGTGTAGGCACTTCTGGGCCTCCAGCCCTGGGGCCAGTGGCAAAGAGCTTGGCCGTGCTCCAGGGACCCACTTAATGTGATCCCAGTTAATCACAGAATCATTGAGGTTGGAAAAGACTTTCAAGATCCTCCAGTCCAAACTGTGACCCATCATCACCTTGTCAGCTAGACCAGAGCACTTGAGAGCCATGTCCAGTCATTCCTTGAACAGCTCCAGGGATGGTGATTCCACCACATCCCTGGGTAGCCCCTTCCAATGCCTGACAGGCCTTTCCAGGAAGAAAAAGGTACCCAGGAAAGCATACCCAGACTCCAAGTTGCATTTCTCCCAACATTTTAAGCCTGAATTTTGATTTCCCCTAAATACCCTGGTATTGCAGGTGACTTGTGCTCTGTGGACAGAGCTGAAATTTGTGTCGTTTGGTATTTTCTTCCTTTCATTTCTTTGAAATGACGAAACAACGCGACCAAGAGGTTTTGCTGCAGTCCAGTTGGATCTGCTTTTGTTTCCCAAGTCTCCCTGGATTTTTTTTTTAGCCACCTTTTGTTTCTGCTCACTCTGAGTGCTGCTGTTAAGGTGGCCGGGGCTGTGAACTGAGGTGAACTCGTGCAGAACCGCCACGTCGCGCATTAGCGCGTGGTCTGCGCCGAAGGCATCTCTGGCCGGGGAAAGCTTTCCAGAACTGGCTGTGTTTCTGTGAAATGCAGCTTTTAATCCCAGATTGTTTACGTGCAGGGCAACTAATGAGTCAATAGGCAAAAGCAGAGAGGGAACCTTCCTGTTTGTGGAATGTGCTAAGCTCCATTTAAAAATTTTCCGTCCTTCTGGAGGATACAGAGCTCTGCGTCGTTTCTTTGGAACTCGGTAGCGTTTCTGCCTTTAGCTTCCATGGGAAAATTAGGAGGTGATTATTCTGGGCAGTCATAATCCACTCTGTGTAATTTATTCCTGTTTATTCCTATGGATCAGGAGAAATGATTCTAAAGGAGCGAGCGTGTTGAGGAGCTGGAATGCAGTGTGGACTCCTGTAGCCTGTGATCGTTGTACAAATTTGTTCAGATTCTCTGGCTGCAAAAAAACATTTTGTTCCTTTGCCATGTTGTCCATCAGAGCAGAAGCAGGAGCTGTCAGGAGCGGAGGAGAGGCGCTGGAGAGATTTGCCCGTTGCACAATCAGTGTTTTCCTGGGCACTTCAGTCACACGTTAAATTTTTCATTATCTTCCCTCATTGTCTAGACTAAGGTCTGTTGATGTAATTTCTTGCAGTGCACTTGTTGGGGCAGAGAAAAGCTTTCTTGATGTCATTATTATGAAAAAGGCTTATTCTGTTACTAATGGTCTGGTGGTCAGTGGGAACGGGACAGTGCTGGCAGTGCCCATGGGCTCAGGGCAGTCTGGAGGCCAAGGAAGGGGAAGCTTGGGGGCTTTGGTGGCTCATTCCATGCTCATCTACAAGTGGGTCATCCTGTAAACATGGGGAGACAAGGGAAGGTCTGGTTGGCAAAAGGTTTAGGTTAGATATATGGAAGGAATTGTTGCCTGTGAGCGTGATGAGACACTGGCACAGGTTGCCCAGAGAAGCTGTGGCTGCTCCATCCCTGGGAGTGTTCCAGGCCAGGCTGGATGGGGCTTGGAGCAACCTGGGCTGGTGGAGATACTGGATGGTCCTTCAAGGTTCCTTCCAACCCAAACCATTCTGTGATTCCATGATCTCTGTTCGCTGCTTCGTCTGCGTTTGAAATCAGTATTCTGTTTAGGTTGTTAAATACTTAGAGAGCAGCCCCAGTTCTTAACGAACAAATAAACAGCAAGTTCCTCACTGAATAATTTATCATCTCAAACCTGATTAAGAGCGTTTAGCCCTCCCAGTTCTTGTCTAACTTGATGTGGTGGTTGGCCTCCAGAGCTCTCGCTGTGGATCACAGTGTTCATAGATCTGTGTTCCACGTGGGGCTCGGAGAGATACAGAGCAACTATTAATAGGATCATTTTCAAGATTGGGGTTTAGGGCCTCCCAGCTAAGTTCTTGGCTTTCATGATAGGCTTTTTTTCATTCACACTTTGTGCCTCAGCTCCTCATTTGGGGAGGAGTGCAGATACTTTCCTGGCTCAACGGATGGTGGTTGGTAATTGTGATGCTGCTCAGAAGCTCTGGTGATGGAGTCCGGGTGAGCACACCTGAGGGGATGATCCATGAGCTCAGCATGGCTCTGCTGCTCACTCTGACCCAAACCTGCACAAGTGCTTGTTAATGAAGAGGCTTGCGAGAACAAAAGGATAAGGAATAACCACAGAAATTGAATTTTTCTTCAGAAGATGTTACAGTTGGTCCATGAGAACTGACCTGTTCATTTTTATCCCACATGAAATAGTTCAGAGTCTATGTTTTATAAGGATTAGGTGCTCAGTTTTGCTGCTGCAGAAATATGAGTGATGTTTAATGGTCTTGTTTAGGGCACAAGGACTTTGTACAGGGTTATTTTTCTGATAATGAATAGCATCTATGAACGTATCAATTTTAAAACGGGCAGCAGAAGAAGTCCAGTGGAACTCTGAGCAGATGCTGTGACAATGGAGCTGTTTTACCAAGGCCTAACACTGCATTGATTTTCAAATCTATGTACTCGTATTGTTGTTGCCCATATGAAATTTTTATAGGCATTGTATTACAATGAATATTGAGGTTACTTGACAAATAAAGGAAATCTTTGTTAATGTGGTTTCAGTGAGGGATTGTGACATGATAAATTAGGCAGAGGAGATGTTAAGTGCACTGCAGCCAAGCGAGGGGCTAATGGAGCTGCCTCTGGCTCGTGCCTGCCTGATCCCTGCCAGCTCTGGGACAGCTGCTTCACACCCTGCAAGGTGGAAGTGATGCAAGGATAAAGGACCACAGTGCTCACCAGGGTGGCCCTGGGCAGTGGGAAGTTGCCCAAGGAGGTTGTGGATGCCCCGGCCCTAGCTGTGTTCATTCCAGGCTGGATCAAGCCTTGAGCAGCCCGGGCTAGTGGGAGGTGTCCCTGGTGGGACTGGATGATCTCTAAGGGCAGTTCCAACTGCTTAACAACTGTGATACTGTGATACTGTGGGGTGCTGTGACCACCAACTACATGCTGTGAAACTGTGATACTGTGGGGTGCTGTGACCCCAGGGATCAGCTCACCTGAGGCTGGGCCAGGGCTCCACCTGACATAGCCCCTGCCCTGTGCAGCCTGTGCCAGGGCTGGGCAACCCTTATGGGATGAGATTGTCCCTAATATCCAACCTGAGCCTCCCCTGTTTCCTTTTGTCCCTTGTTCTCTGGGATCAGATGCTGTGAAACTGTGATACTGTGGGGTGCTGTGACCCCAGGGATCAGCTCACCTGAGGCTGGGCCAGGGCTCCACCTGACATAGCCCCTGCCCTGTGCAGCCTGTGCCAGGGCTGGGCAACCCTTATGGGATGAGATTGTCCCTAATATCCAACCTGAGCCTCCCCTGTTTCCTTTTGTCCCTTGTTCTCTGGGATCAGAGCCTGACCCCACCTGGCTGCACCTCCTGGCAGGGAGTTGGAGAGAGCTAGAAGGTCCTTCTGAGCCTCCTTTTCTCCAGGCTGACCCCCCACAGCTCCTGACATGATTTATTCTCTGGACCTTTTCCCAGCCCTGTTCCCTTCTCTAGACATGCTCCAGCCCCTCGATGTCTGTCTTGGAGTGAGAGGACCAAACCTGCCCCAGAGTTTGAGGTGCCTCACCAGTGCCCTGGGACAGGCACTGCCATCCCTGTGGCCACACTGTGGCTGGTACAAGCAGGTGCCATTAGCCTTCTTGCCCACCTGGGCACATCCTCAGTTCCTTTTCTGATAAAAATTTCCAGCCACTCTGCCCCAAGCCTGGAGCATTGTGTGAGGTTGTCGTGACCCAAGGGCAGGACTTGGACTTCACCTTGGTGAAGCTCATAGCTCTCAGTCCATTGATCCACCACGTCCAGTCTTTTACATGGATGTGCCATTGCAGTGATTTTTGTCTCCAAAGTATGGTAAAGGTCTGGTTTAAAAAAAGCAATTTCAAGTAACTTTTTTTTCCCTTTCCTTTCCCTTGCAGTATCCGCAGTGTTATGCAGAAATACCTCGAGGAAAGGGGTGAATTGACCTTCGACAAGATCTTTCATCAGAAAATTGGTAAGTCATGTTTCAACAGAATGTTGCTCATGCAAATATTGTAGAGATTGTTTTGGTTTTTATATTTCTTTGTGGTGACTGCTGAGAAATCAATGCTGTAGGTGCTCTGAAGGACCCTGGAATATGGACAGGACTTGGTGAAACAAAGGTCTTCAGTAAATGAAATGCTGTGGAAGGGAGGAAGATGAAGCAAGGCAATCCATCAGCTTCAGGTTCTGGAAAACTACAGGGAAAATAATTAAATTATTTGGAAACATCGAGGAGAAAATTATATTACTTGGCATGGGCTTGTCAACAATATAATGTGTCACATCAGTTAACCTTCTTTGCTCTGCAGAGGTAATAGGCCTGTTGAAAAGGGAGCAGGGGAGGAAGGATCCCAGGAGTAGGAAGGATCCCAGACATGTGGTCTTGACCCTCTGATACTGTGTTCTTGCTTGCAACATTGGGAGATGTGGCCTGGGTGAAACTGCTGTGTTCAGTGGGTGAAACTGCTGGGAAACTGGGCTTGTGGGACAGTTGTCAGTATTCTGTGGAAGGGTGGATCCAGGCAGTTTGCATGGGAATGTCAGAGATGAGAAATGTAGTGTTTTAGTTAGCTGGGAGTGCTGGTGGGAGCCTGTGTGTTCTGCTGGTGTGCTGTGAGCACAGCAAGGACAAGGGCAGAGTTACAGCATAGACCAGAGGAGGGGAAAATTTGGTGTTCTGCAGACCCAGCAGTGTCCTGCCCACCAGAGCTGGGGCAATCCCACCCTCCCAGCTCACTCTTCTCCTGACTGGGCTGTGACTGAGCTCTGGGTTGTGTTGGCTCAGCTCAGTCACACAACTAAATATAAAGTCAGGATTGGAGCCAGTAAGGCATGTGAAATAATCCTCTCCTGGCAGATGTTGTGTCCATCCTGGCACTGGAGTACAAAATATACATGGACCTGCTGGGAAGAGGCCAGGAAAGAGCAGTGGGAAGGAGCAGGCCTTGCTGAGCAGCCTCAAATCTGACCTACAGGGAAGTACTGAAGCAGGGTGTGCTGTGAGCTCTGAAAGGGAGAAGTGAGGTTGAACATGATTCAAAACCAGAGAAGCTGTTGCTGAAATGATGAGGTTAGTCCATTTTCCAGAGGCTTAACGTGTCAGTTAGAAAAAAACTGGATGCAAATAGAACCATTTCAGTAGCAGGATGGGCAGTAAAGCAGGAGTGGGTTTCACAAGGGGCTTGTGAGGTCTTTGTCCAGCAGGTGTGAGGAGTGAGTTGGCTGGGAGAGCACAGCTGCTCCTGCCTTGGAAAGAGTCAAGAAGGTCAATGGTTTCATTCCTGGCTGATTAGCCAAGGCTGGAGTGACCAAGGTGCAGCTGTGCCTGGATTCCCAGGAAGGATGGTGCAAGGGTGAGCTGGCATTGGTCTCCCTTCTGGCTGGAGCAGAAATGCCCCAAAATCTTTCTGCTTGCCTTGGCAGTGTGTAGCTCAGCAGGTAGGAGAATATCCTGTTGTGGGAGTTTTGGGTATTGCCAGATTAAAATCAAGAGTGCTCTTGTGCCACAGCCTCTCATTAATGGTTCTCAGAGCTGGTTGCAGAGTGTGGAAACCCCAGTGTGAAGGATGTGTCCATGGAAGGCTCGTGGTGCTCTCCAGTGTGTTACAGCAGTTGAAGTGTTGTCTATATTTGTGCACAAAACCATGACTTTTTATTGTGGTCAAAAACTTAGCCATGTCCATGCCCAGATACCTTGTTTGACACCTCAGTGAGTGCTTCAGTGCTGAATCATGAATATTTTGCTGTAGTGTGGCGGTTGCAAAAGAAACAGAATTTCAGGCAGCCAAACACAGACTTCAGCTGAGGCTCTTTGGGGGCAGAGAAATGAAGAAGTCCTTTTTTTTTCCCCCTTTCCTTAAAAAAAACCTAAAAAAGAAGTCAAACAGAGCAGCTTCTATGTAGTGGATATTTCTATTTGTGTAATTGAATACTTTTCATTACCAGTTGGTTCTGAAGAGCAGTGAGGACTGTTGCAGTTATTTTGATAGGTTACAGCAATTATGACTAGTAACTGGAACCTTGGGAGGATTAGAGCTCTTTTTTTTTCCCCCTGTGTTGATAGTAGCCGTTGAACCTGGAATTTCAGAGCCCAGAGTTTCATTAACATATTGGTTTCTCACTCAGATGTGGAGCTGCAGAGCTCACAGCTGTGCAGAGAGGAGAGATTTCCTCCTCCTCTCCCTGGTACAGGCAGAGCAGGACTAGCCCTCAGTTCCCTGGAAAGAAGGAGCAGTTCTGGGACCAATTTGCTGGAGTTTCAGTTATTTCTGAAGCTGAAGCAGGATTTAGAATGGAATTTAAAGAAAGATTAAAGCTGAACACGACTGTTTTTAACAGAAGACTTTGCATTGCCCTAGAAAATATTGTATTTTCTTACTGTGGCTGTTCATTTAAATTTTATTACCTTTTCTAGCCTGTTCTTTGCCATTCAATTAGCTCTGTTTCCAGACATTAGCATAATTGCTTGTGGTAAAGTACCTGCAATTTTAGGCAAGCATTATGCAAAAGGCCCTGAAAAGAAGTGTGGGGAGGTAATTAAAAGTCTAATCACCTTTTTGTTCTGCTTGTTGTCTCTCTGGATGGGAAGGATGTGGGGGGACCATGGGCAGGGGTGGGGTGGACACTCCATGGGATGCAGCTCCTACTCTGAGGAGTCTAACTCAACCCAAATCTCTGATCAGAGCTGTAGTTGTGCTGGTTCATCTCTCTTTGGGGCCGTTACTGCCTTAGTGAAGAGCCATCCAGTGTTCCCTGCTCTATCCTTACATACTCACTGTAAAACTGCATCGACCTACCTAGTTTTTCCCTGGCAAGTGATGTAGATGAGGACTGTTAAGCTTTTTTTTTTTTTTTTTCCCCAGACCTAAATTCTCTCTTACAGCTCCAGGTCACTGTTTTTGTCTGGTTTTTTTCAGTATCCTTTCAACTGTGAGCCCAGGCTTTGATCAGCTGTCTGCTAGCAGGGCTCTGATGTCATGTGCAGTCGTTCCTGTGGATGTTTCCCTGTGAATTTGTCTAATTATGGTGCTGGTCCTATCACATTTGCACGTGGTTTTTCCTTAATGAGCCCTGAAATCCTTTTAGGGTCAATGCTTTCCAGCTCCCACTGCCAAAAGTTGGCCCAAATTCCCTTCCTGCCACCTCCTCCAGGTGTGCAACTGCAGGGAGTGGCTTAGGCTTGGAAACTAGAACCTTTAGGATCAGAATAAGAGCAGGAAACTCATCAAGGGTGAAAATGGCCTGGAGGCCTCATCACATTTGCATAGAGAAGCATCTGTGCTCTATTTACATCTCTTCCCTCAGGAAGGCAAAAAAACCCTCAGCCCTGGGTGCTGGCACAGGCTTTTTGCTGGGGGGATGCTCCAGAATGATCTTGAACTCTCTAAGAATGGCCTGATGAGTCAGAGGACACGAAGCTCCTAGAACCACCCAGAAGAGTGCTCTGGCAGCTCTCAGAGCCCAGCACAGCCGGCTGTTCCCTCAAAGCTGCTTCCTCCACAGCAGAAGCCTCATGGGGAAGTACAGCCTGTCTCGAAGCCGAGTGCGTAACCACCTTAGCTGGTTTGCTTTCTACCACATCCTGTTTGCTACAACACCAGATTATGGGTTTGCTGTAGAAAAAGAGACGTTTTGAGATGGCTTTGGAAGCGATCAAGGTCAGGTTGGACAGGGCTTGGAGGAACCTGGGCTGGTGGAAGGTGTCCCTGCTCATGGCAGGGAGGTGGAGCTAGATGAGCTTTAAGGAACTTTGAACCCAAACTGTTGTATGATACTGGTATCCCAATATCCATAATCTACATGTGGAATCTACTCTGTTCTCAGCTGGATTAGCACTGCAGGTGGAGTCCTTGTGGTGCTCCCTTGTGCTGCAGGGTGGGCACACCTGGAGAGCTCTCAGGGTGTCAGGTGTGTTGCTGCTGGGCACCTCCAGAGTGGCTGCCAGGCACTAAAGGCAGTCAGTTAGATCATCATATTGCTTTAGGACAGGATCATCATGGTTTTTAAATGCTTTGCAGCAAACTTGTTGCCACTTATAGTTCAGTGACTCTCGTGTCTGACCCTGAGCTTTCAGACAAACCACATCTACCTGCGAGGTGGGGAATAAACCTGGCTTAGAAATTCTGGGATGTGATGTTAAAACATCCCACAGCTTCATGTCCTGCTTGGGTTCAGTCTGAGGTTCTCTGGTGACCTCTTGGTTCCTTCCTGCTCTCGTCTCTCGAGGCTGGTGGGACGTGGCACTTTGCTACACCAGTCTCAGTTTCTCATCTCCCATGCAGAGCTGTTGGGTTTGGGTCTTGGGGAAGGATGAGAACAGGATGTGTTTTAGCTGCTTCAGCAGCTGCAATGTAAGTTTTTCACCTTGCCTAGGAAGTAAAGTGCATTTTTTCCCCCCCTCCAAATCTGTTTTACTTCCATGAAATAAAACACTTGTAACAGAACTAATTAAAAACCCTTGTGGTTGACGTAATGAGTTACAAACCTTTTCTTCCCTATTTACCATCCACTTTTGCATAGTGAGGGATGATCTTTCCTGGGTGATTCATTTCACTGTCTTTCATATCCTCCTCAACCAGCAGGCTCCAAGCTGGAGGTCTTCCCAGCCGGGGTGAGCGTTTTGCCATCTGCATCAGTGCTGCTTCCTACCCACGCGTGGCTTGTGGGGGACTCTCCAGCTCCTCTGCTCCCCCATCCTTCTCCAGCTCAACACACATCATCTATGTTCTGCAGCTCTTCAGCTCAGCTTCCAGAGCATTTGGTCTATTTTGTAGTTCCTTCTGCACAGGGAGTGTTTTCCCTGCCCTTCTCAGCTCGAGGGAAATGCTCCTGACCCTTTGGCTGCTGTTTCCTCCAGCTCAGTCAGGGACAAACCCAACCAAACTTAGGGTGTGAACATCTACTGAGGGTTTTTTTTCTGTTGCTTGTTTCTCTAGTTATGGACTCCTCACGTTTCATTATTTCTGAGCTGTG